GCCAACTGGAGTGTACGTTCTGCGTGTGCGCGAGGCGTAATACGTCCCCATAACAGCAGGCGATAATCGGATTGGTGTGCAGAGGCCTTTAAGGTGTTGGTGTGCACTTCATTATCACTGAGCTCGGGGATTGAAATGACATGACTGATTATAGCCACGTCGTTCAGGATACGATTCCAGGCAGTTTTCATAAATATCTTCTGTTTGCTCCTCCTGTTGGAAAGAAAAAGAAAAACACAAAAAACACCTTATTAGCTTAGTTTGATATTAGTGTCTTTGTAATAGGAATTGTCTTTATTTCACTTTGTTATTAAATGAATTCACCTCCAGTCCTCATAAATTAACAGAATGTATAAAAGTTCTCAAATGACAAGGTCATAATTATTATATTTACCACTTCTGTAGTGGGAGGATGGGTGCTATTTCTGTAAAAGAGAGTGACATTTAGTCCATGTTCTAGCAATATAATGTATTAGTCATACATCTTTATGAATAGATGTTGGAAATGTTAGAATGACTTGAGCCAAATGCAACTTACCCTGCACACGGTTTGCAGACTCTGTGCAGAATGGTCAACACAATTATAAAGATCAGGCAGCACACACAAGGAACAGCCACAGCAATCACTATCATATACTGATTTTCTTCTTCCACAAGCTCTAGGGGAGAGAAACAACAGTAACAAACTCACTCTCACTAATCTAATTTTGTAACTAATATGCAGTTAAATTAAGTCGTGATTTTTTTGTGCAAAAGACAAGTGGCAACCTTTGTGGCTGACAAATGAAGCTGATAACTGCAGTTCCTAGAACTTGCCACTGTCGCTTTATGGAGATTGACTCACTTTTGGAGGCTGATTCCAAAAGCAAGTGAATTCCATGAGTCCCAATATTAAAATGTCCAACTTTAAAGCATAAATAATGTTTATAGCCTAGTACCTAAACAGTTTCAGTCTCTATAGCTGATTTCCCCATTCATGACAACTGTGCAAGGGGTGAAGGGGTGGCTGCTTTATATAGCTGAGTCAATTTTAACCACACTCCACATATTGGCCCATTTTTGTATTAGCTGGCAAAGTAGCACCAGAGTTAGAACTGCAAACATGGCAACAGCCAGGGCCAGCTATACTTACCTTCAATGCTGAGCTTTCAGAAACATGTGGGAGAACTCACAGAGACTACGTCAATTTTTAATGATACTCTCAATTCTGTAAAATCATTGTTTCATAAAGGAAGTCCAGCTGGTGCTTGCATGTCCTGTGGTCTCAAAATAAAGCCACTAACATTGTGTGCCATAATAAGTTATACTCCAAGCTCTGAATTTGAGAAGCTATTTAGAGGTTTGAGTGAAGACAGTAGCAATTCTCACAAAAATACCCTCAGAGGCTGTTATTACTTTACAGTACACAAATATGCATCAATGCCAGTGCGGCCATAGCTGTGTAGCTTTTGTATGTCTGTGTCTAGGTGCAGGTAGCATGAACAGCATACCGTATAGCAACAGTAGCCATAATTGTTGTTAATGTTCCTTTTTAAGGCCTGTTCCTTTATACATCCTATTTTCTTTGCTGTTGCCACAGGGCTTACTTCCATTTCATCTAATCTTATAATTTAAGAGTGAGTACCACACCTGTAATTATGAGCTCCCATAGCTTTGAGTAAGGTCCTTCATTTGTGGTTATCTCACAGGTGTAGTTTCCTGAATGAGAAATCTGGACTCTCTCTATGATCAGTGCATATCGTTGGCTCTCTAACTCGGACATATTTATATTGAGTCTTTTAGCTTCTGGACTCTTGTGTAAGGGATTCTGGGGCCTGAAACTGAACAGCCTGTCCCCATTCTTTTTCCACGTCAGCTGAGTGAGCGTGTTGTTCACAGTGTCACAGGGCAGGACCACTCTGTTGCCAACCACCTTTGACATAGTGGTTCCTTCTGTGGAAAGGGAAATTTCAGATTAAATATTTTATTTTCACTGTGACCATGTTGTCACCATTACACTACATTAACAGTTTAAGCAATAGCTTTGGTATATTTTGAGACGTGTGTTTGTTTTCTTGCCGAGAGATAGAACACTGATGCCCATAGGCGCTACTATCAAGGTACTAAAGGGAGAAAAAACATCTGCTACACCTTATTGACACATGCAAACACCTTCTTCATTCCACTCTCATATTCCTCTCTCATGTATATTGAAATCAAAGCTACAGTCAACATCTGGTTAGCTTAGCATAAAGACTGCAAACAGGGCAAAACTGCTAAACTTGATCTGTCCAGAAGAAACAAAATCCCACTACTGTCCAAGCACTTATTAAACTCATTGACATCTTATATCTTCCTTGTTTAATACGAACAAAAACCAAAGTGTAAAAACATCCTTTTGCGGTTCATATTCAGATTCACGTTTACTATACAGACACGAGCGGGGAATCGATCGTCTCACCTAACTCTCAACAAGAAAAAGAACACCTTATCCAAAATGCCAAACTATTGTTGGAGCTGCTGTAAATTAATTTTACCTGTTGGTGAGAAAATCCAAAACATGCAACATATCAGAGAAAGAGTCCTGTTGAAGTCCAAATATTTAGCAAAATCCTCCATTTCACCTTAAAACAGAGATGACGTTATTGTAAACATACTGTTTGTGTGGGTATGCGGTAAACTTGGAAAACAGTTTCTTTGTAAATGTTATTGGTATTTACTCAAACAGGGATGCCTCGCTTAGTTTAAAGTCTAACTTTTCAAGAGAGTCCTGACCACGATTGGCAGCAATAACGATGATTCACAAATACAGATACCACATACTACAAAATATGTCACCAGATCAGAATGAAACAAACATCCCATTTGTAGTGTCAAAGAGGATCATAAAGAGGGTGACATGCTCTGTTAACCCAGATAGGCTACAGTATGGTAAATATAGTAACTGCACCTACTTACCGGTAGTGAGTATCTGCTGTTTTGTCTCGTTTCTTGCTCTAAGAAACTTAACTCTTAAGTGCAGCTTTAATTTAGGCAAAAAATTAGCTAAAATTATGTATATATGAGGATAATAAAAAATCAGACAGCCACTTCTGTACCTGACAGTGTTAAGATTAAATCTGACCAGGCCCCACACATACACACCAGAAATGGTTTCCATACAGGAAGTGAATAGCGATAACTTTGGTGGTCTGTAGCCATATGAGTAATGTGCTTCTTTTGTGTGTGTGTAGGTGTGTGTAGGTGTTCGTGAAATGGACCTCTCTTCTTCATTTTGGCAGACATTGTACACCTTGAAAATTTAAAACGCTAACTGAGCCTTTTCCATTTGAATTTGAGATGCCATTATGTCAGGCCAAATGAAAATGAAATGGTTAATTTTAATTTAGATAATGGAAACATTGTCACAGTAAAGTGTTGAAATGTACAACGCCAAAGATTGTAATGTCTGCTGGGCTGGCTTATCTTAAGCGTATACTGTCGTCAGTGCCTAGCACTTAGAGCTGAACCAAAAATATACAAGCTGCTTCACTGCTAAAACAAACAGACACACCCATTTCCACAAGATGGTAGTTGTGGCTTGGATATGGAAAGACCATGTCTACTTAAATGTGCAGCCTCTTTGAGATCATAATGTAAGTTGTGGAATCATTTATATACCAGCTGCCAAGGCTTTAAGCACATCAGTTGTTTTTCCACCTTTCCTGTGGACTCAAGATCCTCCTCCTTAGCCTATTGAACATTGCAAGAATTTTTAGGTAAAAAACAACAACAATATAAATCAACAATATATTATAAGGTAGCTTTTCAGGTCTCTGTTAAGGAAACATTGTTGTAAGTATGGTTAGTGCATTAACAACACTTTTTTTTCCTAAGGAACTCACACCATATATTATTAGTTTTTTCTTAATAATTGTTCCCTCCCCCAACTTCTGAAAATAAACCTACATCCTTGATAATGTGCATATATATATAGCACAGATCTTATCAGATTGTGTTTAACCTCCTTTTATGGTTGATGCAGTGGAAAATACAGGGGCGGATGCTGTCAGAAACAGTACAAGAGGAAAACTCTGTTGTCCAAGTGCAAGTGAATGCAACAGCTGCAGGGGCGGGACTAGAGATATATTCATTCTGTGGCAAGAAGATTTTAAGAGGAAGAAAAAAAAATGCTGATTTAATTGCAAACAATCACATATATATTAATATTTGCCTGGAAAAGCCCCCAAATGAAGATATTTGAACTTAAAAAAACATTATTGTAGCACATTACTAAAGCAATAATTAAGGAGTGGCAACTGCAACCCCATGCCACACCTACGAAGCCCATTACTGCCAATGTGAGGATCCTGTAAGTCAAAATGATGAGAAACTTTCTCAAAATAATCACTCAGTACACGGACGTAATTTGGTGGGGGGGACACAGGGGACATGTCCCCTGCACTTTTTCAAAAGGCCGTTTTGGTCCCCTGCTTTACCTATGGAATGCGATCGTGACCAAATTAAAATTAAAATAACATTTGCAGGAAATGCTTTTGTCATTGTTAAGAATGGTGCTGCCATTATTTTGACTCATGTAATAGAAATGAATAAATCAATCATCCTGTTGCAATTTGCATTTTTCTTCTGAACAATTCACATTTTATGCCCATATCAAAAGAAATCCAAAGAGGAAATTGCCATTTTCGTTTTCGTGGTCTGCCCGCAAAATAGTGACCTAATAATCTCGAAATGGAGGAGAGTGATGTCAGTAGCTTGCTCTTTGTGCTACCATCTATACGTAGACGGCGGTGTGCATATTTTATATATTGGACCATTCACAGATCATGGCGATTCCCATGAGATTGTGCAAACTTTATTAGAATTAGCTGCCAGGTGGATTCTAATATTATACTTGAGTCTGATCCCGTGACCGAGTTGGAGCGAGGTCATAGAGAGCTTGCTGCATACTCTGCGTCACAGATTCAGATGTCAATGAGGTTGCCAAGCCTAACCTCTCCTTCAGTCCTGGAACACTGGAATGCTGTGGAGCCCCTCAAAAGGAACCAGGACACTGCGGTCAAGCCAGTCGTTATCCATAGCCGGAATTATTGAGCAAAAGTGTTTTTACAGTAGCTAAAACATATGAAAATATGCAATCTGCAGGTACAAATATGGAATTTTATAGTTGAATTTCTCCACATTGGTGCAGATAAAAATTAATATTAAGTAGATATTTAAGTATGCTTGGTGGTCTTAGACTTTAGGAGGTCAAAAATACCATTCCATAGCCAGGAATTATTGAGCAATTGGTTTTTACAGCACCCACTAAGGGAGACAGGCTTCAGGCCTAGTTTAGACCCGCCCACAGACTCCGTCGCCGATTGGCTCTGCCGCGTTCTTGTGTGATTGGCCTCCCTGCTGTCACTCCATCTTGCTTGCACACTGGTCTGCTAGTTGGAATCCGCATGAATCTGCCACTGTAAATCGGGCGTTGTTCTGCCTGGGTCACGTCAGCTTAGAAGGATTGTAATATCGAAGGTTTCATTTACATTAAACGTTTGAATCGGTGTCCATGTGCGGATGTGCATGCGTGCGTTGGAGTGAAGTTGACTAAACAAGGTGAAACACAGAATTGGGGTGATAATGTTTTGCTACATGCTTTACAAACCAGTCAAACCAAAAAAAGGGAACAGTAAACTTAAAAGAGAATAGAAAACAAGAAGAACTACTAGAAAAAACACAGTGAACTGAAAGAGTTAGAGTTTTATTAAAAATACTTGTGTCCCCCCCCACCTCTGACCTCTGTCCTTGACTCAGTATCGGTTCTTTTCACCTTGTTCACACAGTCCTTCCATACAGTATCTTGTTTGTAGGCAGAAAAGTTTGTCCAGGTCCAAATACCTTTTACAATACTGCCCCTTAGTGGTGAATTTATCATAACCCTCTCAACCATTCATCATTCCCCAGGAATCAATCATAATGCTATTTGAATCAATCCCATTTTCTTTCATGAGTTTGGTGTGTGTTGCAGTGTCAGTGAGGTGTGTCTCAGTTCCAGATTTTAATAGAAACCTCTTTGAGGAACTAAAATCTAGTTCAGTAGAAGTCAGTGCTGGAAAGAGAAAAAATATGGTACTTTATACCCACAACATCTATCTGACAGCTTTAGTTAATTGTTACTTTTCACTAGACAAATAAATGAGTATATCTAATAATGTATCTATCTATCCATATATTATTCAATTACATATTATTGTATTGTTATCTAGGTTATATAGATAGATATAGACTTGATCACTGTGTAATAATTCACAAGTTACCCCAAAGTATACATAAGTAAATATTAGCTTCACATTTACCACCTGAAACATTATTAATGAACACATGAATGCATCAGTAATTATAATTCTGTAATATACTTTATTATTGTGAAAAGGGCATGCATAAAGAGTACTATTACTTTTGGTAGTTTGGGACCTTTTACTTAAAGGACCGGTGTGTAGAATTAGCAGTGAGGTTGCAGATTGCAAACCATTTGAATTCAGCTCAGCCTTCCAAGCTTGTTAGAGAAACTACCGTGGCCACAAAAAATGTGATAGGCTCCGTCTAGGGCCAGTGTTTGGTTTGTCTGTTCTGGGCTACTGTAGAAACATAGCAGTTCGATGTGGCGAACACCATGGAACATGATCGGCTCCCTCTGTAGATAAAAGCTCTAAGATAACAAAAACTCAACACTCCCTATATTCAGATGATTATACACTAATGAAAACATACTTATGCATGTTATATTCCATTTCTGCCAATAGATCCAATAGATATTTTACACACTGGACCTTTAAGTAAAATGCTGAATGCAGGACTTTTCCTTGTAACAGAGTATTTATACACTGTTTATTGCATTGCTACTTTTCACTTTTAGTACACAGAGTTCTATGTAAATGCATTTGTAAAAGTACTGTCGATGTGCAGGTTTCTCTGTACCACAGGTTTAGCCACTGTTCAAGACCAGTTTTTATCAGTCTGATTTGTTAATACAAAACACATCTGTCTGTGAGTTATTAAACATGCAGCATTGGGAACCTGTGATTGTTTTTTTTACTTGAGTAATAATAAAGTCCAATGCTAGTTTTACTACTGTTCCATGTACTGTTGTGTGTGTGTGCGTGCACGTGTTTGAATACGTGTGTGTGTGCGTGCACGTATTTGAATATGTGTGTGTGCGTGCGTGCGTGCGTGCGTGCGTGCGTGTGCTTGCGCTTTGCAGAGAAACACTGACACAACACTTCTTGACCACGTGTGACTTTTTATTGCGTTGGTTCACATTCCAAAAGAAGATACTGCCACACATCTATCAGCAAAGAAGACTACAAGTTAGTAAAAAGGATTTTTTTTTTTCAAATATTAATCACGTCTTCTTACAAACATACAGGCAATGCAACGGTCTTAAAATACAAAAAATCATACATTACCAGTCATATCGATGTACACAAGGACCAGCATCTTGCTTTTGATTGTAACACTGTTAAATGCTTAAATGTGTTCAACACTTTTGGTGATTTATTGAAGGCTCTCTTTGATTCAGATTCCACAGTATTGGATTATGGGAGGAGAAGAGATGGCTGGGGGTCACAAAGGGGTCAAGCTGCCTTCTCTCTCAGAGTTTCTCTAGAGCCATTTGATCATACCCCCAAAACCAACACTGTGAGGCACATGTGTGAGCGTAATCTGTAATGTCTGTAAACATGCAGCATTATGCCCTAATATCTTCTTAACGTATGTTGTTAATACTTTAAATACTTGTTATTTACCCATCTGAGCTGCATAATAGAGGCATGTTTTATGTGTGGTGTGGGTGTGGGTATGTTTGTGTGTCTGCTGAGAGGTCGCATACAGAAATTAAACTTAAAAAAAAAAAAGAAAAGCAAATAAAACATCACAGTTCACATAGGTCCCAGAGCAATATAAGCACTTGCTACAATCTTACAACATTTGAGAATTTACATTTACAGATAAGGCACAGGAAATCATACAGTTGTAGCTGTTTGAGTAAACAAAGCCAGAGAATATGAGAGGAGGATTGGTGATAAACCTAAAGCATACTTTAAGGCTTAGCGCACTTTGTATTAAAGTACTTCCTAATAAATTGCAATTAAATGAATCATTACCCAGATAGATGCACATTACTGCAGCACAGGCATTTTCTCTTTATTGGGTTTGTGAGATTAAATCAATATTTGGATCACAATTATAACTTGTGTGATTACTCTAGACAGTGAAATAACCAAAAAACAGCTGTTCTGCACATTATGTACATTATCACACATGAGATAGGGCATTATGTACAGTGGGAGTTGCCTCTTGTTGTTCGTTTCTCTCTGAATTTAAAAGCATGTCATGGGTATTGTGTTTTCTTGCGGGGTAAGTAACCCTCTGTGGTCACATAAAATCAAGTAGAAAGATTTTATTCACAGCCAGGTCAAGGATGCTTGTTTTCATTGATGAGCGCGGTTTCTTTTATTGTCTCGCCTCCAACAATACTTTGTGCTGATGGTGCATGATCTTTATCACCCGGACGCCTGTTTGTACAGCACGAAAAGAGAGGATTTGGCCCGAGGTCGCTACTATAGTTCATTCTCTGATAGGGTCAAATGAGCCCTGCTCTCTTCCATGGACAACTGATATCACAGTACAGTTCTACTTAAAGCTACAAAACATAAGCAAATCTAAAAAGCAGAGAATTACATTGAAAAAGACATTCAACATGTGGTCTTTTTTTTTTTTTTTCTTTTTCACTAACTCAGCTCTGGCTGTGCTACATGGTATATAAACATGAAAAGGAGAGAAATGCTCTGAAATTGATGCACATCTCTCTTCACTTGAAAGAATCCTGTGTAAATGGATGCATAGATGAGGTGTTATGAGGGTTAAAGGCCTTGCACAGAGTCTAAACCTCTGAATGTGCAAAAAAAAAAAAAAAAGGTATGCTCTTCTCAACCTGAAAATGGACTTTTCTTCTTCCTCTCAAAGAGCTGTATACCTGTAAATGTACCGGCACTTTATCGTGTGATTTGTGTTTGCGAGAGCCCTCTCACTCGCGCAGTGTGCAGCCACATGCTGCATTTGCAGTATGTCGCTGTCTGAATGAGAATGAAAGTCGGTGCCTAACTACAGCAAAATTACTGATTTGCAGACACACAAGTATATCATAACTCTCTTTCCCCTATCTACTCAAACCCCATGTAAAAATGTCTAATCCTCCATTGTATATGATTAAAACTCTTTCAATAGAAAAAGATGTTTCTAAAAATTGAACATGGATTTTCATCAAGTAAAAACATTTCCCCCCTGCATGTGTCCTTTTCACATTATTTTTTAAATATAAGAACACGCTTAATAAAAAAACTACTCCTCCCCTCTTTAACCTCTACTTTTTATATTTCATTTTTATCACAAACACGCAGATTTTTTGTCGCTTTGTAGAACAGTTTTAAAGTTTTTAATCTCTCCCTGTTTATTTAGTTTTTCATCCTTTGCTTTTTGACCTGCCTGTTCAAGAGTGTGCGTTGTTTTGAGTTAGGTGTGTGTGTGCTCTCTCTTATGTTGAACATTTGGTGTGTGCAGGTGTACATGTGCTCTCTCTCTCTCACAGGTTCATACAGTGAGATCGTCTGACCTGGCCCTGCTGCTGGCTTTGCTCAGTCGACTCAGCGGTCTGGTGTCTTCTATCGTATCCGTGGCCTCCATCCCTGCCTCCGCTGGAGTTACCCCTTCCCCATTCACCACCTCCTCTACCTCCACATCCTCATCCACAACCGGCTCCACCTTCTCTGCTTCCACCTCTGCCGGCTGCACCTCCTCGGGCTCCTCCTCATGTAATGTCACCCCCGCTGTCTCAGTGGTTTGGGCATAGGAGGGCAGAGTCTCGTCATACACCTTAGAGATGTCCTCCATGGGCAGCACCTCCTCCGCTTTCTCCTCCAGGCCCTGGAAGGGTGGGGCCCCTCTGCCAGCCTCCATGCCCACCTCAGCCAGCGGGTAGAGGTGAGTTATAGGGGGAGCTTTCTCCTCCTCCAGCAGCCTGTAACCTTTCACTCTCTGCAGGGAGGGCACAGCCAGGGAGGGCAGGCTCTTTTGTGGCGGCAGGGGGGCCGTGCCCTCGCCTTGGGCTGGGGCTGGGGCTGGCTTGCGAAAGACAAAGCGAATCTTCTTCAGGCCCAGGTGACTGATCTCCACAAAGTTGAGGAAGAGTGAGACACAGGCCACAGCCAACATGAAGATGATGAAGACGGTCTTCTCTGTGGGGCGAGACACAAAGCAGTCCACAGTGTTGGGGCAGGGCCAGCGGCTGCATTTGTACAGCGGCAGAATGCGGAAGCCGTACAGGAAGTACTGACCCACCACGAAGCCCACCTCAAACAGTGTCTTGAAGATGATGTGGCAGATGTAGGTCCTCAGCAGGGTGCCCTCCAGCCTGAACTTCTTGCTTCCCTTTGTGCTGGTCTCCTTAGTGGTGCGGACACTTCCCTGGTCAGGTGCCAGAGGGAGTCGCTCCTCACTCAGCTCCTGCTGCCGGCTAAGTTCAGCCTCCTCACGCTCCTTGCGTTTCTCCTCCATGTGGACATGGTGCACAGCGTGACCCACGTACACCAGAGACGGTGTGGACACAAAGATGATCTGCAGCACCCACAGGCGGATGTGGGAGATGGGGAAGGCCTCATCATAGCACACATTCTCACAACCTGGCTGCTGCGTGTTGCAGACATAGTCAGACTGCTCATCACCCCACACAAACTCCGCCGCCGTGCCCAGGATGAGGATACGAAAGATGAAGAGCACTGTGAGCCACACCCGGCCGATCACCGTAGAGTGCTCGTTAACTTCCTCTAAAATATTACCCAGAAAGCTCCAGTCACCCATGATCGGTCCGTAGCTCTGAAAAATAAAGGGTGGGGTAGGTAGGAACATGGAGGGTGCAGACAGACAGGGAGGGTGGGGTAGGCAGGACAGACAAGGGGAGGGGGATAGAGTGCCAAAAGTAAGAAATGTAAAAAAGGAAAACCAACCAAAAATCAAACCTAACTCATAATTTCATTTAACCACACGAGATTATATTAGGAAAGAATTAGATGAATTTAAAACTTCTAAGAGTTGCCTTCGATTATAATTTGATTTAAAAAAAAAACATAATGAATCAAATATTAAATTCAGATTTTTATCGAGGTATTGATTTAACCTTTTAGAAGTCTGTTTGTTCCCAGTGTACACCTTTAACTATGTCGAACATTAACAGTGGTGCAAACCAAAAAATCTCTCTCTCTATCTCTTTTAAAAATTTCTGAGTAAAAACCCTTAAAGAGAGATCAATAAATAACAAATAGTCCCCTCATCTGTAAGGTATGATATAGGTTAAATGTAATCAAATGGGCAACTTGCCACAGCTGCGGCTCCAGCGAAGTTGAGTCCTGTCCCGTTCTCTTGGCACCCGGCAGGGAAAAGTGAACTTTTTTCTGCCCTCTATCCCACCTAAAGCCCCGTCCTTGTCGCCCCACTGAGCAGATGTGAATGAATCGGCTCTGATGGTTGGTTTTTAGTTTGCTGCAATATTTAAGCTTGGAGCCAGACGGCCTTTATTTGCCGGGCGACGTGTGGTGACGCAGGAGACAATAGGATCAACAGAGCCAGAGCAGGGATGTATGGGAGCAGGCCTCAGGCTCCCACACCAACATGGACACTGTACGGCCGGGGCACCGAGTCCACAGCAGAGCCATTCAGTTCCATGTATGCAACTTCCTCACACATATATACTGTATGTAGAAGCACACATACAGTGGATGAAACAACAACAGCAGCTTATGTGCCTCCAGCTGTACTGCCATGCCCAACATTAGAGCAGAGAGGCAGGTCAGTGACAAACTACTGGCTCAGGCAGGGATGAAGGAGAGTTTATGCCCTTGTGCATTAATACTGGATATTAATGTTTTAACTATTCAGTACAGGCAGCAGTAGGTTAATTTTAACTGTGGGTTTTAATAAGATGAATGCTCTCATGCTGAGCCTCTGAAATTATTTTCTGATTTTGTTTAGAGGAGGTTTTGGCCAGTTCTTTCTAATTTTATGTAACTGTCTAAAATGTATACAACTTTGTCCATTTTACATGGGATTTACGAGACCCCCACCAGTTCATATAAGCCAGATCCAGAATGCCATGCATGCATTTTCAAGCCCAGCTTGTTGCTTTACATTCCTGCATAGTATGTGCAGTACAAATGAAAATGGGATTGTATCTGCCAACTGAACTAGCCAAAAGAAGAATAATAGCTTTTAACTGTGCACCTAAAGAGGAAATGTAACAATGTTCATGGCCAAACTTTAGTTTAATACACATTTGTTCTTTTTTTTTTGTTTGTTTTTTAATTTGTGGTAGTGCTTTTAAAACAGTGCCGTTTTTGCATCTTTATTCTTCATTTTCTGTATCAAACGTCGTCGAATGTGAATTTTAAAATTGTAGATAATTGAGTCCACTTCTGTGTGTGTGCACTTGTGTGTGTGTATAATCATATCTGTGTCACTTAGCTGGAATGCGAGGAATGTGAACCACTGAGTGAAAGGACAGACTGAAATGTCTCTATTAGGGAGGTTAGTCAAACTTTCACAGCTCAGGGGAGAAAAACATTCAGCAGCAACCTTTGATCTCCAAATTATTCCACAGATGATTGAACAGAAGAAAAGCTATCGCAGAGCCCAACCAGGCTTGTTTCCACTGTCTGAATATCTTGAATATCTCATTGTGGAATAAGCTCCAGGTTTGCACAAATACAATTAATAACTTTATAAACCTCTCTACAACTGAAAATATTAGGAATAAAATTAATAATGTGACTTCTTCTTGGATTCAAACTCTTCTTGTCACGTTCTTGTCACACTGACATGTTGGACCTGACAAATATACTTAAATATACAGTTTAAATACATAGTTTTGTATGTGTAAAGATATAAACACAACCAGTCACAGCAATATCATTCCATTGCATCTTGATCCTTTTATAGCACAGTAGTATAGTTTTTAGGGGGTTACAATTGATTTGGCTAACTATAATCATTCTAATATAATAATTAGCTATTGTATTAATTTAAACTAAATATTTATTGAAACAATAATACATTTAATACGTTGATGGGGTGTTTTAATAAGATTAAAAAGTTCTAATTAAGTTGAACTACTTAATGATTGCTCCTAGATTAGGTTTACCTCTTGAATTTATGGCACATTTGACTTTTTTCAAATATGGATATATTCAATATATATTCAATTAGATTTATATGAGCTTAATTTGTTCCCATGCCTATGTTTAAAAACACAATCAGTCTCATAATAACTGATTGAAAAAAGTTTGAGAAAACTTTAAAATAACTAAATATACATATATCTATTGTCTACATACCACTACGTACCACTACCATTTGCAGGGTTGTGGGAGAACTTATACATTAATATGCATTATTTAATATATATAGAATACAGTTTGCCTTTGAAAATATTGCTCTTTTCTTCAGCTAAATCAAAATAGTAATACAAAAATAAGTACATGCACCTGTTCATCAGCATCACTGAAAACAACTGACTGTTAATCATATGCATGTGTTTGAGTACTGGAGGTTTACAGGTGCAACTTTAATAGTTTTACTGGTTTGTTTCTGAAACAGGAAAAATGGGACTGACAATTTCTGCTCAGTCGCATTTTAAGTTTTCCATTGTCTATATGTTTTTATATGAGTCTATCAGCAAATTGGGACAGGATGTTGTTGTTCCATACATTAGAAGACTACACACTGTGCTGAAATGCATCCTTACAATTGTGAAAACCTAAGACCTGTTGTATATCAACAATGTGATTTCTTTGTGCCAACATTTCATGCTTTTATTATAAACAACAGTTGGACTTTGGAAAAGTTTATTTGAAGAAAGCTTTGTTTGTCTGTTATCTAAACTGTTGAAAACTCGTTCTCCCTGTAAACCACTGATGTGCCAAATTAAAGGAAGGAACAAAACAATTACATGGCGGTCTGAAACAGACAGTTTGTTTAGAGTTGCACAACTCATTTCCCTTTGCACAATCTAATTTCCAGGTTCCAGAATTGTTTCATATTCCCAGGACCCAATGAAGTTTGAACACTGTTGTTTTCTTTAAAGTCAGATTTCCCTTTATAGCATATTCTTACACTAATATTCAACATATTTATGGTTAATCTTTTATTAAAAAATAAAAATAATAGTTTTCATTTAGTCTAAATGCATTTTTTTTTTATTAAAGCTTTTTTAAGGTAAAACTGCATCCATTCAGTTTTTTGTGATGAATTAAAAGTAATTACTTTATGCACAAAAAAATTGTGACAGTTTAATTTGATTCAAAAATAAGAAAGGTAACAAGATATAAATGACATCTTTTATTCATTGTTAATTATTTTAAATATACTTTTATTTATTTCTCAGATGGACAATGGAGGTGTCCTCATACCACTATACTACTATATAAAATCAACAATCATTAATCAACAGAAGTCATCACTTCTTTTGTGGATGTGTCTCCACTCTGCCCATCTTATTACGGCCAACCCTCGCTGTCTCTCAACCAATAGCGCCCTGATGTCCTAGGTGACATCACTGGGCTGGTGAACTAGAAAGTCCACCTGTTGATGTCTGCTCTCTGATCTGTTTGTTAGTTGCAGATTTGGCCTCCACACTGAGCTTCACTGATCCCAAAGCTTTTCACAAATAGATGATGTAATCTTAGAGCAAAAACCAGTGTGAGGCACTATCCTGCCATGTTAAATGTCCCCAAATCACTTGCTACAGTTTCCCTCTAAATGGTGTCCGGGAACACCAGTGTGTATGTTAGCTGACTGGATAGCTAGAACTAGCCTCCACATATCCAGGAGCAGTGATATCTTCTCATATAAAAATATCCCCAACAAAATACTCAAATCTCTCCTCTGGATGGCACATGGGCTCAGCCCGTTGTGTCGGAGGATAGAAGCCATGTTCAGAGCTCTGTGGAGGCATCAGGGTGTATCCACCGAGATAGGGGACCAGAGGACTCCCTTTAAAGAGCTGTGTGTTGGTATAGTGGACGCTTGCACGCTAAGCCCTACGGTGGGCCCGTGAATGGCACCGGGATTTCACACAAAGACATGATGTCATGTTGCAGGGTGCGGACTCTATTGAGCACGTGCAGTGAGGCGTGAGGCCAGATTAGACCTTCGAAGCAGGGCACCAACTGGCCGTTAATCAGAATGCTAACACGCTAACAAACATATCGTACGGCGATCTGCCTACGGCGCGATGGTGCCACGCGCTTCCTGCTCGCAGGGCCTTTGAAAGACAGGAAGTAACTGAAATCTTACTTTTGTAACGGCCTTATCAATGTGATCCAATTCAAGACATGTATATTTTATCTAACAATATGCATTATGTGAATTTGACACATGTTGGCAGGGGGTTGGTTTGATTTGGCCTCCTGGTTAGCTTCCATACAATGAACATCTCCCACCACTCCCTGAGGAAAAACACTATTTTATGTACTTACACTGCCATAAAACAAGCATTTAATGACTGATGCATACTTTCTGATAATCAAGGTACAACATAGTTTCTGGTTTGGCCATATAAAGGGAACATGTCCTTGTTAGAGCACATGGTTGGTCTGTCTCCTTCCATCTGCAGCCTTCCCCCGAACAACAGTGGGAGTTATCAGCAACAAGGACTGCAGCGCAGGCAGTCGTCACAGCCGAAAACTGCAAGCAAGCAAACAAACATTATTTCTAGCACCTTTCAGTAGGGAAGTCACAACATACTTTACAGGAAGAAGAAAAGGAAAAGAGGGAGACTAAACAGACAAAGAAGACAATATATAAAAACAAGCAGACTTAAGTGTACAACCCACAAAATACAATGTATAAAATCCAAGACAGCTAATAACAGCAAAAACATGATCACCTAAATGACAGGGAGCCAAAAAATAAAAGAT